AGATATTACTACAGCAATGACATACTCTAACGTTTTTTTGTAATCTGTGACTTCAATTCTACACGCACAAATTACCTATCGCATTACCCCTAGCCATGGGCCTAGGAGGGATGTTGATCAAACCTTTTATAGCGAAGTTAATCAAAATTCCTTTACCGAAATTAAAATTGTGGACAATTCCACTGTTTGATCAGTGTATTTTCAATGAAATTCGTGTCCTTAACAAAGACGTATTTGACCTCAAAGACAACAAATATCACTGACAAAAAAGTAGCTGCGCTGTAAAAAATGTATCTAATAAGCATTATTAAATGTGTGCGTATGTTTGGGAGTTGTGGGTGTTATAACGACTTGTTCGATCATGATGTGGTAATACGCCAGTGAAAAGAAGAAGAAAAAATTTAGCCAAACGGCTTAGAACTAAAAATTAATCTGTTCACGTATAGCGTATAGCGAATGCAAAATTATGATACGAATATCAATATCATATGTGCTTTCGAAGAGCTCTGAAAATAATTACCCTAGCTTTAACTCCGGCTGCCGATTACCAGTGATCCAGGTACTGCAATAAATAATCCCACCAATATCAAGGAATAATCCTGCTACCTACCAGATTTTTCCTTACCTGGGTAGAGAGTGGAAAAAGTAGATTTACGTCTCACCAGAGAATATTAGTGCTGAGGTATGGATTCGAACCCCGTACCTTGTGACTCATAGATTGGTTTCTTATCCGCTATTCCTCAACGCATATGTAACTACTACTACTACTACTACTACTAACACTACTACTACTACTACTACTAACACTACTACTATTACTACTACTTCTTCTACTATTACTAATACTACTACTACTACTACTACTACTACTACTACTACTGCTGCTGCTGCTGCTGCTGCTACTACTACTACTATTAATAATAATAATTATAACAGCGTTACTCATAAAGAGGTTACCACCGAAGTCTCTATTAAAGCGCTATAGCAAACAAAACAGACTGATGAACAATTACATATAGAGCGACAACGAAAAGTGCAAATAAACCTACAAATTACAATACATATGAAATACACATTAATGTGAACAGAGTAAGTTGATCATCAAAAGCAATTTTGAATAATTTTGTCTTTAAAGACAAGTTTTGAATTGGTTAACAGTTTGAAAGTTTGACAGTTTTACTACTACTACTACTACTACTACCCGCTTACAAGGTACAAGGTGCTTACAAGGAAGCAGCTAAAGGGCGGCTTGAAATCGTCATCGAGGGACTTCGAAATGAAAACTAATGTAAAATTGACTTGGTTGTGAATTTGGATCTCGGGGTTACAAGGTCACTGCTCCACTACTAGGTAGTTGCGCCTTTGCAATAACAGAGAGAAAAGAAAGAGAAAACAAAAAGAGGTAGACAATTCGTTAAACTAGCCCTGGGGAACACGGAGTGTTTCCGAGGGACCCCTTTTTTTTCTTTCTCGCTAATCCTTTAAAAATGGAGACAACAGGGCTCCTCTCAGCACCCCCGATTTAGCCGCGTCCAGTCATCCATAACTTAAAAAATCGGTCACAGATACCCGAGCACAATGACTTCTGTTTATGCATAGAAACCTTGAAATATTTTCATATTCAGCGTCAAATGACAATTGCTGAGCAAATACGTGTTTTACCTCCATAACAAAGTCCTTCACTTTTGTGTTGTTGGCTCAATATTGCTCTAAAAAATATTTGGCAAATGGCCATTAATTAATAGAGTAACTTGACCTGTCAACTGATGTTTCATAGCAGTTGACATATGTCGAAAGAAACTGTCCTAAAATAATATTGTAAACGTTGAAGTCAGAAGATTGGCAAGATACGCTATAGCTCTACATCACTATTTTCCCGTACAAACAATCTGAGAACAAACATAATAATTAAAACTGAAGAACTTTTAACTATTCCCATAACTTTTACCCATATATGTCTGTTCCGACTTTCGTTTTTGTGCTAGTTTGGATTCTCAGAGGAGAGACTTATCATTTTAAAATCATACCAGTAGGGATTACTTAATAAAAAAAAAGGAAAGTAGGATTCAAATGTGAAAAGCCTGACGAATATAATTTGAAAAAGGTTGAACATTAATTGATATTGTTTTCTTCGTTTGAGCATCACTAATTTTCAACTATTCTCCCATTTTAAACGATGTCAAGTTATATTTAGCCATATGCCTTTTCCTTTTTCCTCATTTGTAACATATCCGAATGCATTAATGTCATGGTTTCGTGTTATTCTAAATCACAAATACAGTCTTACATTTAATTTAAAGGTGTAATTAGTCTTATTGGTGAATTTTGATTTGTATAGGCAATCAATTTTATTAGTTATATGTGTTTATATAACTGTCTATTTTTTTGTAACAATGTCTACATGTATATATATGTATGACTATTTTGGTGATTTCAGCTCGACAACAAAAATATCAATTGCATAAATTGCCATGGAATTTTAATTTTAAATTCAAGTTGTATTTCGTATATGTCATTGAACTTATTGCTGCAAACCAAAGTGTTTTTAAAAGCCATTCATGACGTTAATTGAATTGAATTGTTTGTCTCTCCATCCCTTGTTTGGTCTTCCAGTATCACTTTATCCTTACATTGAACGTCTGATATTAATTACACTTCTATTCTTCCTCTCATTCTGCTTTCTCTTCATTCCCTATTGTCTACCTGCCCTTTCCCTTCTTCGTTTGTCCCTTTACTTTTTTTCTTCCTCACTGATCAGCGCCTCGCACCTTTTCAGCAAACTTTTTTTTCACAATTACGTTTATTTATATTCATACTTGAATTTATTCATGATGTGATTCAGAATTGTATTAAAAATTCTTGCTGTGTATAAGTCATATAATGTCTTTTGTTTTGTGCTGAAAGCCGGAGGACCGTACCTGCCCATAGACTTTTTCATTATAGAGTCTTGACGCCCTTCTGGCTTTCAGCACACGGCACCGTGCGTTGGTCTTATATTTTACATATTACATGTTACACCAATGGAAAACAAATTTCTGTATTATATATGGACAATAAAATCTCGAATCTTGAATCTTGAATCTTGAATCATGAAAGTCAAATTCAAGACCCCTGTGTTTATCACATTTTAAATTTACCAACATTCGAGCTTTACTGTTTTTTCTTCCCCATGATATAAATATACCATGATACACGACATCGCATCATTCAAAGGAAAAAAGAGAGCCCTTGTGCGGCTTATTCTCATATAAAAAAAGACATTGGAACTAAGTTGATTTGGTACGCTAAAAAAGATTTATTCAACAAGTTGCAAAATTTCAGTTACAAAATATAATCGTAGATGTCTATCACATATATCACTACACGGAACAACAAGCCGTTACTAATGAATTGCATTTTGTTTAAAGAAGATTTGTCTGGACGTCACTCAAGCGGGGTACTTCAAAGTTGCCGATATTTGTTTTTGTTGCGCTCCTATCAATTAATACAAAAGGGGAAAAGCGAAACAGCATTTTTTTGAGATCATGATTAATTTTTGATTTTTTTTTTCTTTCTTATTTACACTGTTACCCAAAAAGTTCGAATTTCTTTTCTTGCTTCTCATGTTTCTTTTCACTTTCATGAAATAACGGTGACAATATGATTTATCATTTTTATCAATAAAGTTTATATCTTTTCGGAAATTGTTTGATCAATCTCTACAAATCTTTTTATTATTCAATACAATTCTGCAAAGATATAGAATTTATCTATCAAGAAGTTCATGTTTTTTCCATTTTCGTCTTGAATTTTATTTAAAAATGAAATTGAGTTCTGGTAATGCGATAACAATGTGGAAAAAATAATTTTGTCGAGACGCTCTTTGAAATTAATTGCACCTTTTTCTTCTTTACTACATGAGGGCATTTGAGTAACATTAAATTCTTTCCTTGAAATTCTTACAAACTAACATAGATACAACAAGATAACTCGCCCCAAAATTCCTCATAGCCGATCATTTCTAACTTTAATGTGAGTTTGGTAAAGTTAAAAACCCAATCCAATGTCTTCATCTTATGTATTTAAACGAGTGTTCACGACATGTATACAGATATTGAAGAAATGAAAAGTACCAATTTACAAGAAACGATTGCATTATTTACGAAAGACACAGTTAACGACTAAATAGCTCTATAAATAGAAGATTTCCAGAGTCTGAGCTGTAGATGAACTTTTATATCTCAGCAAGAACATACCTCGAATAATAATAAAGCTTAAAACTACACAAATTATCCTTTGGAGAATCATGCATACACCATACAGTGTTTTATTTGTTAATTCGCTAAATGTTCTGTGCTATATAGAAAAAAGGTGTAGCAAATCCACGTAGGCCTACATCAAGATTATTAAAAACCATAACACAATTCCTTTCCAATCCAAAATGTGGACCTAAATTAACATTCAAAATTCGAGTTTGTGATACTAAAGTATACATGTATAAATCTTCTGCTAAAGAACAAGTAAATTACATCTACCTTTAATAGCAGTTTTTAATACGATATACATTCTACCATACAAAAAAACATACACCAACTATTACTCTTCTTTTTTAAATCAATTGTTACTTGATTATTTTTTACTTAAAATCCAGGTGGATTTCTCCTTTAATGGATCAGCTTAAATCTGAGGGGCGGTGACATTACTATCGGACAAGCCTCAACAACAAAAACAAAAAAATATTAAATTTGCTGACACGAGGGTGGGGTGTTTTGGAATGGGGATTTCAATTCCGTCACACCTTCCTTTGTATTACAATACTTTACAATACAGTGACAAAACGTATGCCCATAATTTTATTTTCTAACATTTTTATAACGACGCACTTATTTTCTAATTACGAATGTGCCCGTCTGCATCAACTTCTGTTGTAAAGTGATGTTTTATAAACCTGATGATTTTCAGAAATTGATTTATAACAGGTAATAGTACTTTTTGTATGTATTTGTTTATTTGAAGATAATGGAAATATTTTAATCTGTATTTGAATTTGAATTTGAATTTAAATTTGATTGAAACTGAATTCTTACTTAAGCAGTTTTTTAAAAACTTGGTCTGACCCCGCCCCCACCCCCTCCCCCTTCCCAATCCAACCCTAAAGTGACCTATTGATCAAGGCACTAGAATCGGAGTAATGCCAAATATCACTTTACCGTTTCATAGCAAGATAAGACACGAGTAGAGACGCAAGCAGGGCGCCAAGACTAAGCGTTGTTGTGTGGGCCCTGTTGCAGAGATTACCCGAGCACACGCAGGCAGCCCCACTCCCGGAGACGAACTGTATGGTATCGGGAAGCATGGAGTTGATTACGTCTCGTTGTGTGTTGATGGCTGCTCTGCTTGCGGTCTCGCAAACGTCCGCAGCTGCTCCGCAGGTCCGTATGACGAGTTCTGTTTCGACGTTACCCTCTGCAATACAAAATGGGGCATGTATGTATTCATATTCCATGCAAAACTAACAAATGCATAATACAAATTCTACTTACCATTAAAGGGATAGTTGGGTTCTGTTGCAGAGGGCGCTAGACAAAATAATTTCAGAGTCGGCTGAAATATAACGATTTCTAATACTTGTGTACCCCCACAAATTTTAGATATTTTGGAAAATTTGAAAAAAACAGTCGAAAAAAAACGAAATAACGCCTTTTACGTCGTATTTCAGCCAATGCCGATGTTGGCTTTTTTGTTGGCATTTTCATGTAGCTTATATTATTATGTTGCTTAAATAATTAATTAACGTTCATCATGTTTTTTTTTAAAGTGGAGCTGAATTGGTATGATCGTATTGGTGAAATTGTGGGGTCTAAAATTACCTTTATAGCAATTTTAGGTTCTAAAAGGGCACTAGAAATGTCATAGATAAAAATAAGAGCAATAACCATGCACTTTGAAGGCATTTGCGGTCTGAAAACAGAACTCAACTATCCCTTTAACATTTATTTGAGTAACATGGACTTAATTATCCTGAACCAAAGTAAATAATGACACGACAATATGTTCTTTAAATCATTAAAAAGCCTGTTCAAAGAAAATCACAAATATGGCAAATAACGTATCACTAGAAACTGGCAAGCTTACAGATGGCCATCGTATAAGTTTTAAGCCAACTACATATCGGGTGATTTATACAAATACAAATAAAACCACCTCAATTGCATCTGGGATAAGCAATTTACTCTTGAAACGCCTATTAACATACCGCGGTGTATGCAGCTAAAAATACAATGGCGTCTTATTTTGTTTACAAGCGATGGATTCTTTTTGAGTGAGGCAATAGATCATTTAGCCTGACGGTAGTGAAGTAAGAGAAATAACTAAATAGAAGATAACAAAACAGCCACTAAAGATGTGTAGATGTCATGATACATCGTCTGCATGTGCAAATCATGTTCAAGATGTGGCGTCACACATCTCAGAAGCGTTCGGAGGGCTCTTCGAGTGCTATGTCGGGGCTGTATTTAACCGTTTTGTAATTGATAATAATAATTAATTCTAATGTTTCCAAGCATTTAATTTTGATAACCTTGTCCCATCAATGTTTCATCTTTGCAATGATGACAATAAAGTTAGTATTTAAAATCGATGAACCTTCTCTTTAAATACGGAAATGAATACCAAATACACTGTTGAGCATAAAGGTGGAGAAAAAAAGGCAATAGATTATCAATAATTCATTGTATTTTCCCCTGGCCCCAACAGGAAAAAAATCGTCTGTACGGCCATGTGATTTTGTCATTTCTGAATTGGGAAAACTGACAATCCTACTAATTTGGGTGCAGACAATAAGCCAGTTCATAGTTGCAGTCTGAGCATAGGTAGATAAAGGTCATTGCAGACCAAATTATGAAATACACGGATACAAAATGCTGGATACGTCCTCATGAAAGTTATGTAATCATTATTCATTTATTCACTTATGCAAAAACAGTGCAGTCCAAGATACGCGTGTGGAAGTATTCTTTGAAAAGGGGAAACAAAAGCTATTTACTTAGCACCTCCATCGCAGTAGGAGTGATTATTTCACCATTTACAAAGTGAAACCTCTTCATGTTCAAAGATCTGTGGATATTCGGGGTCATTCGGGACATGTGTAAACCGTGAACTGGCCTTATTAGCGAGTTTTCGCTCAGCGACGGACAGACCTTCTACGACGCCGCAGCACTCAGAGTTACGGCCGTCGCACACAGACTGCCCTCGTTACAAAAAGCGGCTTTGCTTTTCGGTGAACGCGTACGTATAGTACGAAGGTATTGCAATGCAATGCCAATAGGCAATTTTCGTAATGTAACCAAATTGAATGCATACGTCTTTGTGAAGTGCTTCGATACAAACTATTTTATTCACCTGATAAGAATAATAGTATTTCAATAGACAGAGTCCAAACTGCATATATTAGTTGTTGCCAGGTTTGACAAACATTAGGGAGTTCTCGCAAGCTGAACGCGGATGGAGAATCTGCGGTTCGTGTGCAAAATTGAGAAGCTACTATAGTAACAGCCGGGTAGGTACTGAAATCCAGAACGGGTTTGGGCCAAATCTACGGGCGTTCATTTTGTGACATATTACAGCATACATTTAAAAGTATTCAAGAAAGGCCATTATTCTACCATTACACCTTTAATTCTTAAGAGTTACGAAAAAGGACAAACACACCACAATTAGCAAGGGGTCATAAGTATTGCTTTTGTACTTACGTCCCTCAATAGCGTATATAAAGTTGTAGTTGGCTTTCAGGCAACCTCCAGCTGCACTACAATCCATGGTACTCTGTTCGTAATTCTCGTCACAAGGAGCGAAGCCTGCCTCCATGCTCGGGAAGGCACTCATGTCACCGTCTGATGTGATGGAAAGACAGTTGTAGCATTGCTGAGCATGAACTGTGAGAAGTGAAAAACGAAGATTTATAAGTTCTTAATGTTTTGGGCCTGCAATTGGGACATGGTATCTTTATTAAAGGCGACTAAGAACAGATTTTTCTCGAATCCCCCCCCCCCCAAGCTCACTCGTATTTTTTCAAAATGAGACTATACTTACAACCCGACCAGGATTGATTTTATTCCTCTTTATATGATCAAATTGGTCACAATGCGACCTCAGAAATATTATTATTTTTCATTATTATTCAGACCATCACACCCAATCGCAAAGTATGATGTTTGAGCAGTATCTTTGGACCACGTAGAGATAGAAATGATTAAAGATGGGAATCATCCCTGATAATGTATTCATCACAATCTAGATGTATATATGAATATGCGAATTGCATAAGTTAATTAATGTCAAGTAGGACAAGCCGTACTGGTTGTCCTTCCTACCAACAACTAATGTAATGAGTATTGCGATACTGTGCAAATCCACTCTCAATGCAATCATTCAGTCACTCAGTTAAGGTATTTTTACCTTGCCGCTCTCTTTATTGCATCGTCATAGCTAATTACAGCAGTATTTGATGTAGTGTTTCATTGAAGTATTTATAGACTAGAGTTAAAAAAGTAACTTTCTTCTTCAAGCTTAAACCTATTAGTAGCTGGAGTGTTAACCCATTAGCCCCCATTTTCGTGTTGTGCCTGTATTAGATCTACAGGCAATATGTGAGTTCAGTGGTCAGCGGGTTAATGAGCTATAGTTTCAATTTGAGTACCGCATTCAAACACTATGAAGCATTTATAATTAACTAGAATTACGAGTGTATTGACACACACAAAAAGCTTATTTCAAGCTTAGATCTTTTAGCTGGAGTGTTAGCACATTACCCCCTGGTACTGGGTTGCTCCTGTATTGAACCTACAAGCAATGTGTGAATAAATGCCTAGATTCCATTTGCCGCGGCGGCCGTACGGTCAAAAAAAATTACGGCCAATAGCAATTTTAGGGGGGCCGCAGCTTTTACACGGTCACATACGGTAGCGGTCACCTATGTTAGGGTAGCCACGCGGCGTATTTTGAATTTGTGGAGACAGAAAATCTGCGACTACCGTAGGGCCGTTAAAGTGATGACGCACGGTCGCCCTAGGGAGTTTCTGCGGCGGCCGTAGCTTTTCGACAAAACAAAAATGCAGACGCAAGTTAGCCCGCAAGAGGCCCGCAAGGCGGCCGGAAGGGGGACCATACGGCGACCGTGCGGCCAAACTGATGCCCCCGCTACACCCTGGAGTATATAAAAACGCTACGGCTTGTCTAATCGCAACGGCCCTAGAAATGACAGCAGTTATCACTCCGCGTTATAATCGCACGGCGAGCCGTACGGCTTGTAAAGATAAGGATGCGCCATAGGGTGACCCTGAGGCGGCCGCCGATTAAATCTTTTTTTTCTCGGCGGCGGATTACCTTGTATCAGAACGAGCCTTCAGAGTAATATGCACTGCAACCAGCCATTTACCACGAAAGTCCCACCTCTATAGAATTGCATGTACTGCCCCTGCCCCTTCTAAATGTATCTCCCTAATTTAGGTAGTTGTCTGCAGGTCGCATTTTCCTTCTTTTAAACGAGATTTGAAACCCATGATTGGCGTGGGGTAAAAACGAATATATAGAAAAGGGGCCTTCGCGTTAGGGTTGATAAAGCTTATTTATAACTTACCCATTCCAAAAACCATCACCGCAACAAGGAGGAAAACTTGGGCCTTCATCATGGTAATAAAATAGACGTCGATCTGCAAATATCAGTCACAATTAGCAGTATATCTTCCACGATCTGAGTTCCAACTACAAGTGAAGTGTTCTATGAGGACTGTGCATATTCATACCAGCTCTGGTCTCTTAACCGTCCACCATCCACCAGCCACACCCATCCATCTTAGCGGTAGCGAATCACAGACTGGATACCGGGTGACGTGGTTGCGTATAGTAGCCAATCACCAAAATTGTACTGTGTCGCGTGACCAAGGCGTGTCGCTATTTTTAGCCGTGACATGCAAAGTGGAAACCTATTTTTTCTTGGCGTACATTCAGTCACGTGACCATACTATCATTTCTCGATTTGTTGTAGCTCAGATACGAATCACAAGCTCTTATTGAAATGTAAGGTAAACGTGTTATTACATCCACTCAAATTATCATGATGTGATAGTCATTTACGTCATATTATAGGAGATTGGGGAGGGCAAAGCCATAATGCCGTTAAAATAAACAGATTAAATCGAATCAGTTATTACTCGCCGAAGAAAAAGGTCTGATTTATGTTTGAACCAGTGCCCTGTTTCATCTAACTTAATATAATAAATAACAAATAAGTATAGCTGATTACAAGGTAATGAAATCATGGCATTTCATTGGCAGGGAGCTAAAATTTCATAGAAATTTAGCATTTATTATCAAAACAAAACAGGGCCCAGTTTAATCTGTATCCATTAGGCCACGTTGTGTAAACCAATTTGCCTGCTTTGTCACCGTTCTTGTTTGATCAGGCTTTCACCCAATATTCGCCATATCATTAATATGAGCGTGTAACACAATCAACTGAACAACACTATGTCTAAATAGGTATAATGTATACAGTTTACCGACAACGATCTTTGCCTGCTATTCCACAGTGCGTATCGAAAAATTAGGCCCGAATTGGGAAGCTTATGATTAAAAATTACAAATTCATGAGACCTTGAAGTCTATGTCATCGTAGTGAGTAAAGTGTTTTCTGTCTAATAAAATGATATTCATATTTTTCTGCCACAAATGAAAGAGCACCAGTATTTTTTTCAAAATGCGACGTCGTAATTTCGTTATAAAATGTTTTGTCAGGTCAGTGCCTTGCCTTGCGTTGCCGTTGGTCTTAAATCCTTTTAAATGTTAAATTCTGCTTTCATGCTTCAGTGTTTCATTGTTCAAAGTAGATCAATGTGTCTAAGCTTTCCACATGTAAGAAAGTCCGGATTTTGTCGTCGTTTATTCTCTCGATTCTGTGATTAAAAGGTCTGTAAGTGTACATGTATTCAGAAGAAAATTGAAAAGTATTATTTGAATACATATTGTCATTCCTGATTCCTGACTATTCTTGTCTCCAAACTGTATACTTTTGTTCATTACAATGAGTAACTAACGGTATGACCATGGAGATATAAGAAGAGACCATAACAACTATATTTATAATATAGTCATATCGAGAACAAATTATGTAGTAATATTGTTTCAATAAGCTGCAGATATATTCCCTTCCCTTTTCCTTGTCTTTTGTAGTTAATTGTGAGTATCGGTTCATGTATCCCTGTAATCTCCCTTTCCCTGTTTTAGCGTGTAGTTGTATTTTATAAACTTTAATTTAGTTAATTATGTCTTTTTTAGTTTAAGGAGCCTTTCCACAACAAGCTCTGCTTTTCCATAGGCTCCGCCACTTTATCTCTTAAGTTAAACTTAATGGACAATATTCTAAATAGTGTATTCCGGTATTGTATGTACATGTATGATGATAACTATACCAAAAGTAACGACAGTGGACTTTCATGAAAAAGATGGGTAAAAAGCACGCTTGTGAGTGTAAAGTTTGTCTATGTTAAATGACTAATGCTTACCTTAAATAAAGCATTCAAGAAAAGTCCGGATTTTGTCGTCGTAAGAAGGATAATATTACAAATGAACTTGTAAATGAGCCTTTTCTTGAGTCTAAATTGACAATATTGCCTTTTCTATTCTTAGGCACTAATTAACGCAAATACGTCTTTAATAGTTTTCGACTGAAAGAACAATGCGTTAGGGCTTTTGACCCACATTCATTGGTGCAGTTCAAAAGAGGCTGCTGCTCAGTCATCCGTGGCAGCAAAGTTGCGAATAAGATATCATTCGGCATAATATTTATTACTCTTAATATAATTCAAACTCATTCAAATTCTAAATATCAAATGGGAATCTTGCAAAGTTGGGTATACTTTTGTTTTTAATATGCATTGTATATATTAAGTATAACGTATATGGCAATTATCACTAGACTGGAATTAGTAATATGAGTTAACCGGCCAAAAAAGTGAGTGCTCAATTTATTTTTCTTCATTTTACCACCCGAATTTTAAAAAAAAGTGCCGGCCAATATTTCGGGGAGGGGGGGGGGGGAGGCGTGTAGAAACACTACAACAACAAATAATGGGCCCTCGACATATTAACAAAAAACAAAGACAAAAACAGAAACAAAACAATTTTTAATCGGGGGGCAGCCCAAGAGGGGGGGGGGGGTGGTTGAACTACCTAACCCCCCCCCCCCCCTATATCCGCCTCTAAGAACGACAACCTGTAAGATCGACGTCAGCAAAAGCTTCATTGGACCATCAACAGCGCGCCAGACCGATATCTATACAAAAGGTTCTTTAGCCCAACAGCCCATGAGATCGACACTTACAACAGGTTCATTAGACCAATACTCCCACGAGACCAATTTCCTACTAGACCAATAGTCCATGAGACCGACAGCCACTGGCGTACTGAGGAAGGGGTAGTTCCCCCCCCCCCCCCTCTTGGCACGATATGAGTAAATACAATTCAAACGTGGTTTATTTCTATTTCAATACCAGTGATTTACCAATGTTGCTGAAATGTCATGATATTTACCTGAGCCCCTGGATGCTCATCTGATTGTAATTTAATGCCTAACACCCCTAAGCTACTGGGGGCTCCCTGCACCCACTCAAATAAGTGACATACCAGTGTCACACAAAAATATCAAAGTATGCTCATCTGAATTATCTGACCGTTACGCTCATAACGCCACTGCCGACAGCCCCACAAGAACGACAAAACAAAGAACATATATTGGAATAAAGACAAATGTCGGCGTCGTGTGCTGCAGATCTTCAGTGACATTGTTCCACCTAATGAATGAGCTAGTGTAATGACATTTTCTCCATATTTGTTCATAAAATATTCCTGAGGACTTAACTTTTGATCAGTACAGGTGAACTAAAAGTGTTCAAATTTACGTCTACCTCGCCTTAACATTTGACCCAGTCCGTGTCAGAAGAGGGCGCTAAAGCTCCTAAAATTAGTCTAGACATTTTATTTTGTTGTCAGTTTAATACCGGCCGTGCACGTGTCCCCGTCTGCTCTGCAACGGTTAATAAACTGTAATAGACGAACTGATTGTAGACCAATCGGCAATTCACCGTTATTTTGAGAATAATATGTACTTGAGATAACATGACTGCATACGTCAGCATGCAGGCTGACATGTTCTGTATTGTTAATAAATCTTCCAATAAGAAATTATAAACAAAAAATACATAAATCAATCAGTTTAGTTTTTGTTCGGTATCATTAATTTCCATCAACGCACTCACCTTTTTCAATACTGTTTTAAAACGATTCCAAACAATACAAATCAATCACAAATGATACAAAAATCCAATCTGCGCGAAAACTTAATGACATCTAAAAAAAAAAGTATAAACAATGATGAAACTCGAGGTTGCTGTGCGGACGAGGGAATAGAAATTTGCAAGTAAGAGGATACTATAACTCATATCCAATCCAACGAACACCCTAGTTCTATGTTAAGTGAAGGAAGTAATTGAAACAAAAATATCATAACACTCACACTTTTAATACTTATTTTTTTAATAATTATATAATATGATTTGTATCAAATTATGCTTGGAAATGGAATATATTCAGAAACATGCCTGCACGAAAATTGTTTTTATTCCCATGGGTCTCAGATAACAGACTGCTCGATCTCTCCCAATTTTCCATGATAGACCAATGTATGTTCATATAATATTTATCTTATTATCTCGTCAGGGCCTCAAAATCTAGGAAGAACAGTTTGTTTGCTTGTATAATACTGTTATATTGAAGGAAAAAAATAGGAACTGGTCGGTGGAATTAGAGCTTAAAGATCAAAAAATTAGTTTTTAAAATAAGTTTTCAGTTTCATTTTGTTTTCGTTGTCCGTAGAATAACTGTACGTTGCCTTGAGATTGCTTTTTAACAAATTATTACGGGTTTGCAGTAGTGACAAGGGATTGTCGCGGAAGTTGTCGCTCATTTTGGCAAAGACAGTTATGTGAAACACTTAGCGGACAAGTAGAGCGACAACGGCGAGATGTCGTTGATCCTGTAGTTATGACGGTTTCTAGACCCCATGTTGTTCGCTCTCGTCTGGAGAATAACGCGTGTTACACTGAAAATAATTCTCGTCGCCTAGTTTCGCTCCTGACGCAGGCGGTACGCTATTGAAACCAATCTGCCGCTGTAAAAGGCCCTAGATGTGAATAACAAATCGTTTGAATAGGGTAGAATATTCATGTAACTAACAAAACATGAGTTATTTTCTTTTAAGTGAAAAATATAAAGAGTTGACTGCACCTTTCTACATATTCAATTTTTGTTTGATGCTTCCTACAGAAAAAAGAAAATTCTAAAACCTTTCAATTATAATGAAATGACGAAGGTCCTTTCTCAAGCGCAACAACCAACAAATCTTTTGAATACAAAAATATTTTTTCATGGGGAAAACCAGAGGTGGGGAAAACCAGATGTGGGGAATTCCAAGGTTTGATCAGTGTATTTTCAATGAAATTCGTGTCCCTTATGAAAGGCGTATTCATGCACAAAGACAAAAAATATCACTGATAAAGAAAGTAGCTGCGCTGTAAAAAATTGATTTAGTTATCATTATCCAATGCATTCGTGTGTGTCGGTGGGTGGTGTGTTATAAGGACTTGTTCTAATATGATGTGGTTAAACACCACAGAAAAAAGTCTTCCAAACAGCTTAGAATAACAATATTCTGTTTCCATATAGCTCATGTAAAATTGTGATACGAATATCCCTACCATGTCTATGTGCTCTCAAACAAAAATGTATTACCTTGTCTTCTGCTCCGACTGCCGGCTTATCAGTGCACAGAGTACTTCAATAAATAACCCCATCATTATCAGGAACAAACTGCTGCCAGGAACACATTTCCCTTACCTGGGTAGAGAGTGGCAAAAGTAGATTAAAGTCTCGCCAGATAATTTTAGTGCTGAGACAGAAATTCGAACCCCGTACCTTCTGACTCACAGTCTGGAGTTTTATCCACTAGTCCTCAACCCTTTAATAATTTGATTTATTTGATTTGATTTATTTATTTCTGTTTGATTTTCTTTTTCTTTTGCATTTTTACAAAATATATATATAACAAACAAACATTGCAAATTTACACATGACAAAATAATATACGTAGAATAAAGTAAGGCTGGCTGTAACTAATTGAGAATTACTGATGTTTTATTATAACTTAATCACATTTATAGCTTCAAGCAGAATTGACAAAAGAATAACTCCGTTTAGTTGACAATCAGCCTTGCATGAAGTCTTTCGTCTACAAAAATTTTCCTCAAATTCATTTCAATCCCTCATATACAAAAATATATGCATCATATGAGTTGCATCAAATGAAAGACGATCTAAGCTTTCCAAATATGTGTCATTTATCAATTATAATTGTGATTAAGTTATTATAAAACATCGATAAATCTCGGTTTCGTTTTTTTCTGGGACGCACTGTATAACAACTACTACTACTACTACTACTACTATTATTATTACTTCTACTACTACTACTACTAATATTTGTGCTCACAAGGAAGCAGCTATAGGACGGAAATAATCTTTTTCAGATTGGACAGCCTTATAAACCCAACATCAACAACTGCTTGAAGTTTTCATTGAAATGAGAACCAATGTCAAATCTACTTGGTTGTGCACCTGGATCAGGGGGCTACGAGGTCACTGCTCCACCACAAGGTCATCGCGCCTTCGCTATAAAAGAGGGGGAATAAAGGGGAAAAGAGAGAGAAAAAACAAACAAAAGAGAGGTGGCAGATTCGTAAAAAACGGACTCCTCTCATCAGCACATGCCGTCCAGTGACTTAGTTTCTCCCAGGCACCCGAAACCTATCACCTCGAAAAACTAATAAACAATTTTGATTTGTAAAAGTATTCAATTTTATTGATTACATTTGTGTACAATTTCCCAAATTTTCAATAATGTCTTTATTTGTATTATTATGTTGGTGATTAAAAAAAGATAACAATTGTATCACTTGCATATATTATTGCCATGAAATTAAAATGTTAAAGCTAATTTCTATTTTGTATCTACATGAGCAATTAAGTTTATTGCTGCAAACAGCGTTGTTCATTAAAACATTTATTTTAATTGAATTGAATATAATTGTTTTTCTCTCTTTTCCCCTATTTGGTCTTCCAATATTATGATATCCTTTACACTCAATATCTGGGACTCGTTTCACAAAGCCTGTTTACAATGACAAATGAAAATCAGTGACATATCTACTAATAAACAATCAGTAGCAAGTATATTACTGCCTTTAAACAAAAACTGTCATTTTTCCATGAAGACAAGTCTTCTTAAATGAGGCCCTGGGGAGTGTTTCACAAAGATCCTAAGTTGAACTTATCTTTAAATTGGACTTAACAATTATGGAAAGCCGATAGCATCTATGAAAATATTTTTGTAATAGTATTTTATAAGGCATAAAATGTTGATTCAAATCATCCATATTTTCTATTATTAAGGAGATTTCATGTTCATGATGTGGAATTTATAAAAAGTCTAAAATGCTTGAATTTCGCTTTTGAATATATTTTATTTCAAGGCTACAAATGGCTCTCCATAATATTTAAGTCCAAGTAAGAGTTAAGTTCACCTTTGGATCTTCGTGAAACACCCCCCAGATGTCAACTCCACTTTTATTCTTCCTCTCCTTCTCCTTTCTCTTCATTTTCTCTCTGTTTTGTCCTTTCCCTACTCCGTTTTTCTTTCATATTTGTTTCCTCCTCACTGATCATCACCTCACGTCTTTTCAGTAAACTTGCTCTTTCACCAGTACGTTTAAAGTCAAATTCAACACATCTTTTTCTTCAAGACTACACCAACAGTCATTTTTAGGACTACAAACCCTCAAGAAAGATTACCGACAGTCCTTTTCAGGACTCCTCTCTCTCACATGGTGCACCCGCAAGCCTACTGTATACATCACATCACATTTCATATTTACCCATTTTCGAGCTATACTGTTTTTTCTTCCCAAGATATAAATACACCATGATACCCGACATCGCATGATTCAAAGGAAAAAAAGAACTCCCGGAGACGAACTGAATGGTATCGGGGAGCGCGTTGTTGATCGCGTCTCGTTGGGCGTTGAGTTGTGATTCGGTGGCGCTCTCGCATGCATCCGCAGCTGCTCCACAGGTCCGTATGACTTGTGAGACGCTCACTCTACCCTCTGCAAATACAGAATGAGACATGTTTAAAGATAGTGGCTTCGTTGCTTTCGTGCATATTCCATGCAAAACTAACAAAGCATAGTAAACAAATGGGCAAGTGGGGCATCAGCAACAAAATACTGTACAAAAGTCCTATCGCAGGGAGATTATCTATCATTGATCATGTGACCTCGTTTAGACCAACCAGATTGCAATATTCTTAGTATGCGGGATAGTATACATTATACACATCATTTCTTTATGAAAGTAATGACTCGATAGAATGTCCTGTTTAATCACTAAATACGGAAATGGAAAATTAGCCTACATTACAGCAAGCTTTTTTGCGTGCAGGTTCACAGAATTAAAAAGAAAATGACCAATTCAAGGCCCAATCAGAATGAGACAAATGAAAGAAAATACCATGAAAATGACTATTAGTGCAAGATAATTAGTGTGGAGACAGGTACATAAACAGAAAGATTGAGAGATAAGTATATAGATAGATAGGTGGGTAGAGAGAGAGGGGAGAGAGAGATGAAGCAAGAAGTAAAACGAAGGAAACAAATAGCATTATAGGATAAGATAAGATGGTAAATTTCCGAAACATGCTAGGTGCGAGCAGAAGAATAATAACAGCAATGTAACAGTAAAAAGACCAAAGTCTTCTTAGGCCTGTACATGGTGTACATGAACAATTATATTAAAAACCTGATCCAGCAAAAGTATTTACAGAGCAAACCATCTTGTTTTCTTTACCCAGTGAAATAGAGTATATATATATATACAGTTTAGTATTAAATTATTCATACCCTTACCAAGTTTTGTAATTTGTAAGTATGTGACAAATGTATAACCGATGTATGTTTTTTTTTTTTTGAGGATGTGGGAAAGCCTACATCTAAAAGTATTCAACAAAGGCCGTAATTCTACCAGTACACCTTTTATTCGTTAGTTACAAAAAAGACCACAAAATCACAATTTAAAATGGGAGAAATTAGTAAACAGTAACTATTGTCAAATCTGACTGAAATGAGCGCTATACAAGAACCCTTTATTATTTATTATTATTATTTTATTGTACCGACGCTATAATATAAATCAATATCATAAGTAATGGCTATTGTACTCACCTCCTTCAACGTCGAATTCAAAGTCGTAGTTTGCTTTCAGGCAACCTCCCGCTACACTGCAATCCGTGGTACTTTCTTCGTAGTTCTCGTCACAAGCCGGGAGCTCTAAAGCCATGCTGTCAAAGGCGCTATTGTCACTTTCTGACGTGTATGAAGAACAGCTGTAGCACCGTTGTGCGTGGACTGTGGGAGGTGAAGAAGGTTAGTTTAAATGTTTTATTGGTTTCTGTTTCTGTTATTCATCAATTCACTTAATCATTACTATTTTTATTCATTAATTAGTTAATTTTTTTAATCATTCATTCATTCATTCATCTATTTTATGTCATAATATTAATAGTAATACTAAGATTAAAGATAATAATAATACTACTAAAAAAAAGTCAATTTTAAACAGAAAAGGTGCCCTTTCACTTTAGATAAGCGCCCGTGTTTAAGCATTACAAATGGCCTTGCCTGATGTTAAGTGACCCGTCCCACATTTTTTAATTTGTTTATATATTTATTAATTTTTTTAGGGGGAGGGGGGGGGGAAATGGATGTGTTGATATTTATATATGCATTTGAACAAAATTCATTTTCTTGAATAACAGTATTTTAAAAAATGCGCAACACTTTTCGATCTTCAATTGGTTATGGAGTAAACTTTTGAAAATACACAGAACAGAGACTTCATGAAACATAAGTTTTCGATTTCCTGCTTGCATAAATGTTAAATAAATTGATTATTTTGAGTGTATAATAAGAAAATTTAAACTTTGGAATATTTTATTTTTCAAGTTATAACTTTTACTTAAAACGAACTTGTCAAAATAAAAACCAACATTGTAAAGTTTTAGATTTATGTCTCCAAATCTTAACCAAAACAATATTGACCCTTACCCTATATCCCCTTTTCATGAATGCCCCCTTTAAACACGGCTGATATATGCCCGTATTACAATCTGAGAAGTGGCCTTTTTACTTCTTGAGCTTGATCAGGTATTAAAAAGTGCCCCTTTTCACCTCTGATAATTGACCTTTTTTTTTTATTCCAGCACGTGCTCATTTCCTTTTCTATTTATTGTCCTTTTCCCTTTTGATAAGTGTCCCCTTTTCCTTACCCTTAAACATGTGCCCCCTAACTTAAAGCGACTATGAACAGTCTTTTTCTCGAAATTCCCCCAATGACTTGCTCGCTTCTCTCGCGTGCATTTAATTCATCATGATCATGTGCTTACAACTCGAACAGGATTGATTTTATTCCTCTTTAAAAGATTTAATTGGTCACGATGCAACCTCACAAAATCTAAATTTCTGACGCTCACAAATGAATATTCAGACCATCACACCCAACTGCAGAGTATGATGCATCTTTAGACTATAAAGAGAGAGGGATGATAACAGATTGAAATCAATCATGATAATGTATTCATCACAAATACGAATATGCGAATTGCATACATGAATTGTTATCAGGTAGAACAAGCCATACTGTTTCTCCTACCTAGCAAACTATACCTAGCAATCAGTATTGTGGTATTGTCCTTGAAACTCCTCTCTCCATGAAAACGTTCAGTAATTGCATTTCAGCTGACACTATGCCATTTTTAATCCAGCATGTATTTATAGACTAGAATTAAAAGAAATATATTTATTCTGCAAGCTTAGACCTAGTAGCTGGAGTGTAAACCCATGAGTTTCTGATATCTGGTTGTTCCTGTATTAAATCTACGGGTGATATTTAAGTTCAGTTGTCGGCGGGCTAAGATGCTATAGTTTCAATTTTAGTACCACATTCAAACACTATGAAGCATTTATAATTAACAGGAATTACGATAAGTGTATTGACACAAAAAAAAGCTTATTTCAAGCTTAGGTCTTGTAGCTGGAGTGTTAACACATTACCCCCTGGTACTGGGTTGCTCCTGTATTGAACCTACAAGCAATGTGTGAATTAATGCCTATATAGATTCCATTTGCCGCGGCGGCCGTGCGGTCTAAAATATTTACGGCCAATAGCAATTGTAGGACCGCCGCAGCGGTCACATATGTTAGGGTAGCAACGGGGCGAATTTTGAATTTGTGGAGACAGAAAATCTACGACTACCGTACGGCTGTTTAAGTGATGACGCAAGGTCGCCTTAGAGAGTCCCTGCGGCCGCCGTAGCTTTTTGACAAAAAAAATAAGGCAGACGCAAGTTAGCCGCAAGAGTCCGGCAATGCGGCCGGAACAGGGACCATACGGCGACCGTGCGGCCAAACTGATGCCCCCGCTACACCGCTGGAGTATATAAAAGGCAACGCTACCGTACGCCCGACGTACGGTCGCCGTGGAACCGCTCTACGGCATGGCTACGGCTTCTCTAATCGCAACGGCCCTAGAAATGACAGCAGTTTAATATCACTCCGCGTTATAATCCCACGGCGAGCCGTACGGCCTGTAAAGATAAGGATACGCCCTAGGGTGACCCGAAGGCCGCATGAATCTCTTTTTTTTTTTTCTTGGCGGCAGATTACCTTGTCGTATCAGAACGAGCCTAAGATTAATATGCAACCAGCCATTTACCACGAAAGTCCCACCTCTATACAATTGCATGTACTGCCCCTGTAGTACAGCGGATTAGCTCCCCATATAACGAGAATTGTGCACTTTTTGATAAAAGCATGAAACTTCTAGCATAGTTAGTTTAGACCATAAGATTCATTTTCAGATGTGGAGGGAAGTCAGATTTGACCTCTGATGACCCTGAGAGGTCAAATTCAAAATGGCCGCCAGTCCGCATGGTCTAATGTACAAACACGCTTAACTTTTGAACCAAATAGTCCAGAAAAAACATTTAAGGTGTCGTTTCCAACTAAATTGAGGATGCCAATGCATTTGGTAATACTTTTGAGATCGCCAGATTTCGGGCTTTGGCATTTAGGTCAAGGTTAAGGTCAAAATTGACTAAAAATAGCAAGTTTTCAATGTTTACAACGAAACAAATCCCATTTATTTGTCATTTGTTCGCTCCTATGTTCTCAAATTTCTTTAAGAGTGGTTCCCCTGCAGACCATGAGATTCATTTTCAGATGTAGAGCGAAATCAGATTTGACCTCTGATGACCCTGAGAGGTCAAATCAAAAATGGCTGCCAGTCCGCCGCATAGTCTAATAATTGTCCAAACACGCTTAACTCTTGAACTAAATAGTCCAGAAAAACGTTTAAGGTGTCATTTCCAACTAAGTTGGGGATGCCAATTCCTTTGGTAATACTTTTGGGTTCGCCAGAACTCTGGGCTTTGCATGAAGTCAAGGTCAAGGTCAAAATTGACTAAAAAAAATAGCAAGTTTTGAATGTTTACAAAAAGTTTTCCCATTTATTTGTCCCCCTATGTTCTCACATTTCTTTAGGAGTGGTTCCCCTGCATAGTCTCCATCGTAATCCCTGTCAGTTAGTTTATTTCACTAATTATAGCACCAAACCAGTAGTTGTCTCGTAACTGACCATATGCATATAGCATGGTCAGTGGGCAGCTAGGCAGTATACGGTACAAACCTCAATTCAAGTCAGGGAAACTGCTCCTTTCCGTTACTGCTCAATAATACTGGTAAGATGTTCTTTAAGTTACTTTGTGTTTTATTTGGTTTAAGTAATTTAAATAATCGCTACAGAGTTTGAGGAACATGCCATAAAGCAAACTAACGTTTCTGCTAATACTATACAAACATCACCTTGACCAGCAACCTGGAGTGCAGGCAGCATTCTTGAGGGATGGGAACTTCTGACAGTACTGAAAGAGATGGGGAATCCATCTCTAGAACAAAGTCAAGACATACTAGTCATTGGCACAAGCGACATATCATGGACATCCAATTGGCTGAAACGGGGAGAAGGATTGAGACCCTAGGTGAGCAGTACACAAAGTTTGTGACAGAAAGGCTAGAGCAGTGTACGACACCTAGCTGTCACACAAACACTTCATACGAACAAGTTGCCATTTTTCAGTCGGCAGCCGGCGAAGGTTATATACCGTGTGTCTCAAAAAAAACGTAACACTTTTGAAATGGTTGCCAAATTGAGCATATATAATTTTATGAAAAAATGTCTATATGTATGGAAAGCTAAAGGACCAACCTTTCATATGATATGAAAAAATTAAAAAAAAAATCATGCTTCGATGGACAGTGTTCACTTAAGTTAGAGGTATGAAAATGGGCCTGCGCAGGATTTTTCCTTCCAATTTTGGACAGGTAAATTACTTGTAACTTACAAAATAAGGTCGATATGAGATATTCATGATCGATGGATCAAAAGGATATTTTGAATACCTCGAATACCATTCCTTTTTCAGTGTTATTTATCAATCCCGAAACACCACCGCCCACCCCCCCCACACACACACACACACACACACACACAACCTTCTTCCCATCCTCTCACCTACTCCTTGCTTTTTTATCAGTTTTCTTCCGAAAGTTTGGTGGATCATTTTTTCCATTAATAATCAAATTAACCAGTCACTCATTTTGATCATTGAAATCAATCGATAAATCACTGAAACATTAATTCCATCAAGCAATTGCTCAAACCAATTATCACACGCACACAAACCACACACACACGCACGTACACACACACACATATACGCGCACACACATACACACACGTGCACACACACACACACACACATTAGGGCAGACATGACAAAAAACAAGTTAAATCTTTTTTTAAAAGATTTTCATGTTTCTTTTATTTCTTTCTTATTTAAAACTGCTTTGTTCATCTTAAAATGAAAGATCTGACAAAAGTAATCAGTTCAGTAGTCCACATGGCTATCTTTTCTTCTTGATTGAATATCAAGGCTTTCAAAGTACCGACTGAGTAAGGGTACCGGTAAAGATAAAAGTCTTTCACATTAATGATCGACGTGTCCACCTTCTCTCTCGATACACGATCTTGCCCGTTTCAGCATGTCCAGAACAGCTCTCCTGACTGTGGCTCTGTCTTGACGAAGGACATCAATCTCATGGGTGATTCTCTCCTTGATATCATCCAGCGTGTCGGGAGGTGTGGTGTAGACCTTGGCCTTGAGCCATCCCCACAAGAAGAAGTCGAGAGGCGTCATGTCAGGTGAACGTGGAGGCCATTCAACTTCGCGGTTGAGGGATATCACTCGATCACCGAAGAGCTGGGTGAGGCGCTCTGTGACATCCCTGGAGCGATGGCAAGGTGCCCCATCTTGCGCCCACCATACGCGTTGAAACCGTCCATTCCTGCCACGGCGATACCTTGCAACTCTATCGAGGGCAGGGACAACATGTCCATCTATCATCTGGAGATAGGCTTCACCGTTGACATTGTTGTCAAAGAAGATGGGCCCAATGATGTCCCCTCTGCCAGTGAGACCGGCCCACACCGTCACCTTGGACCGGTTGTACTTCCTTTGGTAGTCGAACTCTTCTGGAGGATGCCCTTTATCCCGGTATGCCACAAGATTGTGCGTGTTGACCTGGGCATTGAGAGCGAAACCGGACTCGTCCCCTATCAACAAGTCATCTAAGAATCGCGCCGGCCTTCGGAGTAGCCACTCACAAAATCTTGTGCGACGCTGACGATCTCCTGGGAGAAGCTCGTGTCTCTTGATCATCTGGTAAGGGTGGTAGTGAAGATCAAGTAGCGTGATCCTGTTGAAGGTGGCGTGGGGTAGATCTGTAGGGTTTCGCCGACAGCTGATGTCTCCATCCTGATGATCCTGAATGGCTTGACGAACCACTTCAATATTCTCTGCCGATCGTCCAGTCCTGAGGCGTCCTGATCTTCCTCGGTTCAGATTATGGCTCGTCCCCGTTCCCTCGTACTTGGCGACATTGCGGTACACGGTAAGACGCGAAGGGCAGCGTACATCCGGGTAGACTTGTCTGAACCTCTGACAGACTGCTGTAACATTGTTAGTTCGATGATACTCAGTTACCATGAAAGCACGCTGCTGATTTGTGAATTGGGGTCGTTCCATACTGACAACATGGCATAAGATGGACTGTTTGAAGGCTATGTAACAACTTAATGCAGTTATTTTTACTCTTAAACCTGTAATGTGTAATACCATGTTTTTGCCTCTTTGTTTTAGTATTAAACAGTGATTTTGGATAAAGAGGATTATGTAACAGTTTCTGGCTACTCAGTGTTCAGGCCAATGAAGAATAACAATGCAATGTCATACGGTATTCCATGGACAGGTGATAACAAGTTCAAATGTGGGGAAAGAGAAGGGGTCTGGTATTTTCAATGCATAATGAATGATGTACTTAGCTATTACATGTTTGGGTCATTCATAAAACCTGAATAAAATGTGATTGATGATCCACCAAACTTACGGAAGAAAACTGATAAAGAAAAGGCAAGGGGTAGGTGATGGGATGGGAAAAGGTTGTGGGGGGGGGAGGAGAGTGGGTTTCATAATGTCAATTATGATTTTGAATACGGTATTTCAATTTAACATTTTCCCATTCTTCCTTAATCCCGTTCACATCTACCAGATCAATGATACAATGAGATGGGAGTGGGTGGAAGTGTGTGTGTGTGTGTGTGTGTGTGGGGGGGGGGGGTGGGCGGTGGTGTTTCGGGATTGATAAATAACACTGAAAAAGGAATGGTATTCGAGGTATTCAAAATATCCTTTTGATTCAAAATATCCTTTTGATCCATCGATCATGAATATCTCATATCGACCTTATTTTGTAAGTTACAAGTAATTTACCTGTCCAAAATTGGAAGGAAAAATCCTGCGCAGGCCCATTTTCATACCTCTAACTTAAGTGAACACTGTCCATCGAAGCATGATTTTTTTTTTAATTTTTTCATATCATATGAAAGGTTGGTCCTTTAGCTTTCCATACATATCAACATTTTTTCATAAAATTATATATGCTCAATTTGGCAACCATTTCAAAAGTGTTACGTTTTTTTTGAGACACACGGTATATGTTAAAACAGAAGGCACAGCTTGCAGCACTTAAGAGTGACTGTGGTCTCTTTTTGAGGATTTACATCTCGTGTCAGACAAGGGATGGAGATATGGACAATTTCTTCTCTCATGAAAACCAGGCAGTCCCGCCAGCTTTGTTAACTGGAGGTAAATGCGGTTTGGAGTTAAAGCAGATCTACTTCGATGCCTGGAATCAAATCTGCTCGAAAACAATAGTGCACCTGTGGCCCAAGCAATAATTATTGATGGTGAAGCTGTGGTTCAAATGCTCAACCCTGGAACATCAAGAACATTTCAAGAGTATGGAGAAAAAGTGTTTGCCCCATACATCTTTGCTCAACTCGAGAAAAGCATCCGCATCGACCTTGGCTATGGTGTATACTTACCTGCTAGCCTGAAAGCCTCAATAGGGCAGGAAAAGGGAAAGGGCACCAGGAAAAGGGTGACTCCTTCTATTTTGCTGCCAGAAAGCTGGAAGGACTTCCTTCGATTCAATGAGAACAAAACCGAATTGTTTGATTTCATGTCATGCGAAGCCGTTTACCTTCCTCTACCACAGGGCAAGGAACTGTATAATATGCAACAGATTGAAGTGGAGTAGTCTGCTCTGCTGCTGAGTCACACTTGGCAGGCCTTGTCCAATGGGTGTAAAAGGGTATCCATACGTATTGTTGGTACTGATGCGGTTGAACTGGCCGTGGCTTCATTTAGCAAGACAGCTCCTGATGCTGGGGATCGCTTTTGGTGTCAGATCAAGCTTTCGGTACAAGGCTTTTCATAAAATCATGATAGTTGCCACCATGAGTCTGACACCATGTATGACTCTTCCAATCTTTCATGCGTTCACCGGGTGTCACACTGTTTCTACATTCACAGGAAAAACTTAAAAGTCTTTCCCAGAGGTGAATGATTCCTTCAATGAACTCCTGTGCATGCCTAGGGAGGTCAGTGAAGGATCAATGTTACTGCCGGAGCGATTTGTGGTGCTCATATGACCGAACCAGTGAGAGCATGATAGTGAATGATGCCAGGAAACAGCTCTTCGCACAGAAGTCTAGAAACCTGGAGAACTTTCCTCCATCCCAGGCAGCACTCAAGCAGCACCTCAAGCGCACTTGCTACCAGGCCAACTGTTGAAACCAGATATTGGCCAAGAATCCAGAGATGCAGAGCCATCTGACTTGGGCTGGACATACGAAACAACTGGGTGGCAGCCTCTTTGGACCACTCTCCCGGAAGCATAAAAATTGTGGCATGAATAATCCACTGTCGCTGCAAGAAAGGATGCACTGAACTGTGATCTTGTTCTGGAGACTGTTAGATTTTGATCGTTACCATCATTAGGATATGCATAAGTTGTGGACAGTGCTAAATTCATGTAAATATCTATAGCTGTGGTTATGAACAGGTTTTAGGTCGTATTTGGAATAGCTTTTTTTGTCTTCTGGGCCCAATTTCATAAAGCTGCTAACCGGTAAGCAAATTTTCGTGCTATAACTGTAGCAGACAAATTTGGTTAGCAAGAAAACAAGGCGTCCACCTTGTACGTTCACAATGGATTGCATTGTTACAAAATTCATTTTCGTCTAGTAAGCAGCGTAAGGTTAATGCATTTTCGTGTGCTTATGGTTAGCAGTGCTTTGAAGTAGAAATTAATACGTAAGCATAGAACCAGCCGATAAGCAGCTCTATGACATTTGGCCCTGGATAGTCAAAGTGGTGGTACACGGGTCTTTTTATTAATTTTTAAAAGAATGAAACCTTAAGTATCAAAATAGAGGCAAAGTTTATTTTAAAAAAGAAAACAGCACTTTTTTGGCCTAATATGACCTTTAACTTGACCTTATTGCAAATCCCTGAGTTCTGGCGATCTCAATGTATTACGTAATGAATTGGCATCCCCAAGTTAGTTGGAAATGACACCTCAAACGTTTTTCTACACTTTTTGGTTCAAAAGTTACCACGTTTGTACATTAGACCATGCGGACTGGCGGCTATTTTGGATTTGACCTCTTAGAGTCATCAGAGGTCACATTAAACTGTTAAATAAACTAACTGAAAAGGATTAAGGTGGAGAACTCTGCAGGGGAACCATTCCTTAATAAATTTGAGAACATAGCTAGGAAGAACAAATGACAAATAATGGGGATTTAACCTTCTGTAACCATTCAAAACTTGCTATTTTTAGTCAATTTTGACCTCGACCTTGACATAAATGCCACACCCTGAGTTCTGGCGATCTCAAATGTACTACCAGATGAACTGGCATCCCCAATTTAGTTGGAAATGACACCTTAAATGTTTGTCTGGATTATTTGGTTCAAAAGTTACTGCGTTTATACATTAGCCCTTGCGGACTGGCAGCCATTTTGGATTTGACCTCTCAGTTTCATCAGAGGTCAAATCAAACTGAAATAGACTACCTGAAAAGGATTAAGGTGGAGGACTATGCAGGGGAACCATTCCTAAAGAAATTTGAGAACAAATGACAAATAAATGAGATTTAACCATTTGTAACCATTCAAAACTTGCCATTTTTAGTCAATTTTGACCTTGACCTTGACCTAAATGCAAAACCCTGAGTTCAGGCGATCTCAAAAGTATTACCAAATGAATTGGCATCCCCAAGTTAGTTGGAAATGACACCTTAAACGTTTCTCTGGACTATTTGGTTCAAAAGTTACTGCGTTTATACATTAGCCCTTGCGGACTGGCGGCCATTTTGGATTTGACCTCTCAGGGTCATCAGAGGTCAAATCTGACTTCCCTCCACATCTGAAAATAAATCTTATGGTGAAAGCAAACTATGCTAGAAGTTTCATGCTTTTATCAAAAAGTGCACAATTTTCTTGCTAAGCCGCTGCACTACTGCCCCCTCTCAATGTATCTTCCTAATGTAGGTAGTTGTCTGCAGGTAGCGTTTTCCTTCTTTTAAACGAGATTTGAAACCCATGATTGGCGCGGGGTAAAAACGAATAAATAGAAAAGGGGCCTTCGCGTTACTTACCCATTCCAAAAACCATCACCGCAACAAGGAGGAAAACTTGGGCCTTCATCATGGTAATAAAATAGATGTCGATCTGCAAATATCAGTCACAATTAGCAGTATATCTTCCTCGATCTGAGTTCCAACTACAAGTGAAGTGTTCTATGAGGACTGTGCATATTCATACCAGCTCTGGTCTCTTACCCCTTCCACCATCCACCAGCCACACCCATCCATCTTAGCGGTAGCGAATCACAGACTGGATACCGGGTGACGTGGTTGCGTATAGTAGCCAATCACCAAAATTGTACTGTGTCACGTGACCAAGGTGTGTCATTTAGGTGTTATAGTCGTGAGATGCAAAGTGGAAACCTTTTTTTGTTAGTGTTCAGTCACGTAATTCATATAATCATTTTTCGATTTGATGTAGCTAAAATATGATTTACGAGCTCTTACTAAAATGTACAGTATATGATCGCTCAACCGTTCATGGTGCAATAGTCATTTACATCATATTATCGAAAATGAGGGGGGCGGCGCGCAAAGTTGTAATGTCTTGAAAATAAACAGATCAAATTAAATCAGATCGATTCAGAAAAATAGATAGGAAAATAAAACTCACATGGTCGGATGTTTATATCATCAAACTGGACTATTATTACTCGCACAAAAAGTTCCATTTAACGTTTGAACCAGCCAGTGGCGGATCCAGGGGGCGGTGGCTCGGGAGCCTGGGCCCCTCCCTTGGGGGAAAAACAGGTAAAAACACGTTTATTTTACCTTTAATTGGTGCTTAAGAGGGGAGGGGTGCTATTTTCAAATTGCCGGTGGCCAAACAAAAAATCAGTGCTCACTACCCTACTTGAAGTCTATGTCATTGTAGTGAGTAAATTGTTTTCTGTCTAATGTTATTCTATTCATATTTTTCTGCCACGGATGAAAGAGCACCAGTCTTGTTTTCAAAAGGTGACGTCATAATCTCCTTATAAAAATTGGCGCTGAATATTTGTCACGCCAGTGCCGCCCGTTGCGTTGCCGTTGGTCTTAAATCCATTTAAAAGTTAAATTCTGCTTTCATGCTTCAGTGCTTCATTGTTCAGAGTAGTTCAATAAATCTAAACTTTCACAGGACCTCGTTTCAATCCACAGGATAACCTTCAACCGGGCATGGTGGCTCAGTGGTTAGAGCGCCCGCCTCATGAACGGGAGGTCGTGGGTTCGATCCCCGGCCGAGTCATACCAAAGACTTATTACAATAGGACCTTCTGCCTTCTAGCTAGGCGCTCAGGAAATTAGATTTGAGAAGGGTAGTAATAACATATTATGCTATGCAGGGCCCGCTGGAAGAGCAGTGTCACAACTGAAGTGGCTACCCTGGGTAAATAAGACGTTATTATTATTATTCAACCATTTTAAACACGTTTCTTACATCTTGTGTCATGATATCTTTAATTTCATTTCTAACTTGTCCATTGCACCATTTAAGAAAGTCATGATGATAGCTACCAAAGGTTTTGACAGTAGACTTTTAACGCAGATATCATCTATACTGTGTCTGTCACAAATGACTCAGTCTTACCTTATACAAGGAATTTTGTCGTCATAAGAAAGATAATGTCACAAATGAACTTGTAAATGAGCCTTTTCATGAGTCGAAATTGACACATTACCTATTTTAGTCTTAGGCACAAATTAATGCGAATATGTCATTAATAGTTTCCGGTTGAAATAACATTGCGTTAGGGCTTTCGACCCACGTTCATTAAAGCACGCGAAAAAAAGGCTGCTGTTCAGTCATCCGTGGCAGCAAAGTTTCGAAAAAGGTATCATCCGACAGAATATTGAATACCCTTTAAAATGCAATATAATTGACATAGTTCAGAGTCATTCAAATAATAAATATCAATGGGAATCTCGATGGTTGGTTACACTTTTGTTTTATTACGCATCGTAAATATTCAGTGTACATGTACCTTGTTTTTGCAATTATCACTGAACTGGGATAAGTAGTATTAGTTATATACCTCACTTAAGAAATCCAGCCATCTGATTGGTCGAAATTGCAGTCATAAGCTTTAACTATTCCTGTAAAATTCCCGGTAAAATTCCCGGTAAAATTCCAGTCTTGGTGAAATACCCATAGGTTCACATGTTAAAAACTGGTTTGAGCGATCGAGGATACCGTACGTGTGCGAAGAATTGGTCGGTAATTTAAGTACGGCAATCTCGATCGTACTAAATTCCAAACCGAAGGCAAAAATGGCTGAAGAAACTCTCCCAAGGTTTCAACTTCTTGATGATGATCAAATGCATGACTTGCTGACAGTAAGAACACCAAAAAGGGTACGTTAAATTCTCCATAATTTTTTTTCAAAGTAGATCTAGTAGGCCTTGATTCTAATAAGTAGGTCTAGTAGTGCTAAAATCCTTCCCGTAGAAATTGCACACATCCCTATGCATTGGCCATTGCCGTCTCGTGCTAAATTGGTCGATGTTTTAATTACCAGAGATTCAAACTAGTATTGCTTGTGATCCTGAAGGTGATACTCAATAAGTGAGGTGTCATATGAAAGCGCAGGTTTTTTTCCATATTCTCCACAGGGCCGGCTTACCCCCAAAATTGTAAAAATATCTTGCTTAGACTAGGATCTAGATCTAGTCTACTCTCAAAGATACACTCATAAAAAACAACCGTGCAGATAAACTAGAGAAAGGCCAAGGTGGTGTCATAAGTTGACTCTTTTGTTTTCGGCATATAAAAGTATTAATGACTGCTTTAATATTCGAGAAATAGTTGTTTTTATACGCTCTCGGGAAGTTTACAATTGGGCTATTGCCCTCGGCACGCCTCGGGCAATAGCACCATTCTAACTTTCACTTGAGCGTATAAAAACAACTATTTCTCTCAAAGTAGTCAGTAATACTATACTAGTTCATTGGCTAAAAACTGAAATGGCCCCACTCCCACAGACACAATCTTAAATTATTTTTCTGTTGTTTTAACTCCCTTCGCTATCAGAACGCACACCTCTGCCTCAAACTTGGCGGTGGGTATTACCAATGGGCTATTACCATGGTTATAGATCAAGAACATTACATTGATAGAAAACATCATGAAATTGACATTTAAATAAATAAAATAAATCGTAGGCATGTCTTTATAATGCTCTTTAACTTTCTCGTTAGATTACAACCCAAATGTGTCGATCATGTTTGAATAAGGCTGTAAATGTGGAAACATAACGGTAAAGAAGTTGAAAACTGTGAACCCTTCAATAAATAAATGTAACTAATCAATAGAACAATATAAAACAAGCATTATAACAATGTCAAACAAAACATAAATGCTTTCTAGTACCCTCAGCTTTCAAAACAATTATTTTACCATCAAATTGTAAGGGATGACACCGTCATGATCGTTACTAATTATAACTTTACCAAAATAGACCACATATTTATAATCAAACAACATATTCAAATTTAAGCATCTAAATATATATGATTTTTAGATATTCTGGATACCACATATTTATGATTGAACAAAATATTCAAATTTAAGCATCAAAATAAATATAATTTCTAGAATTGATATTGCCCTCATGTGCTCTAGATTAGGAGCACATGCAAGCGATCACAATGACGAATAGTTTGCTCTTAGGGCAGAATGGTTCCTGGTACTGGTAAACAATTTGTAATTTGTCGTAGTTACACACTTCTCCTTTAATGATATGTGTAATGTACATGATCTTGAAGTGATGTAAGAAGGGCAATTTCAATTACACATTGAATATAGAAAAAAATTGTGCTTGTATCACGTCATAAGTCATCATATTTGACGCCCTGGTCAAAAGTTGGTAGACAGTCTGTTTAAAGCTTATCAGTATAGTTTACAGGAGGGATAAGACCACCCTGCAAGGTCACTGGACAGGTGGTTATCTCATCAACTCAGCTCTCAGTTAACATAACAAAAAAAGGATCATGGGGTACCAATGGTCACCGATTAGGCATTGTTTGTTATATAGAGGGCGCAAGTAGCTACAAATAGTGCACTGGGCATTTAATTTCGAGAGTCTTTGCGATCGTGGCAGAGAGAAAATCTGCACCTTGGCATACATTGGACGATTATATTATATCATAGATTTATATGATTGAAAAATGTCAATTGCTGTTTTGCTCTCCAGTGGTTTAGCGCCCTCACTTGTTCGTAACATACACACACACGCGTGGTAGGCACTATTTATAATAGTCCTGTAGAAGTTTTTCAGACCTGGGAAGTTGTTAAGTACAAGTTTGTTTGTTTTTATTTGTGTTCTAGATGGGTATTGAAGTAAATTCAGCTTGGATGCCAGCTTGGCAACCTTGGGCAACTTTTTTTAATAGCCATATTAGCATAATCGTCTAATTAGCATATGTGCAATATGTAATAATGTTGCTAATCTCAATCCAGGTAGCCTTAAAACATGGATAATACGACTTTTAAAGAGTTTTCTATGACAAGGAATTCATTTATGACATCAATTTTTATTTTTAAGTAATACAATTGTCTTATATAACTTGGAAATATACCTTGGAAGTAGGCATTTAAAGTTAAAAACTTATTTGCCTCTCGTTGACATTCGGATGAAGAATCCATATTTTGACACATGTTTAGTGGCGCTATACAGCAATTGACGAACATGGACAATCGAAGGACTCCTCTGGGTCAAATTGATCTTTTCTTGACGACCAACATTTCAACAAATTGGATTTAAAGCTGTTTAGTGACGTGCACAACACAACTACAGAGGAGAGGTTGTTCCATTCATTGATACATCTCTGTGAAAATGATCCATGTCGAAGCTTTGAGTAGACTTTCTTCTTAACGATCTTGTATCGATGGCCACGGGTTCTATTATCGGTTGGATGGTCAAAGAAGTGTGCTAGATCCAGTTCATCTAGGCCATGCATTATTTTGTATATCTGTATCATGTCTGCTCTATGGCGTCTGTAGGCAAGAGATGGCAAGTTGAGATGTTTTAGTCTCTTCTCGTAACTCAAGTGTTGTAGCATGTGTATTTGGCGAGTTGCTCTACGCTGTACCTTTTCTATTTTCGTGCTGTCTTTTTTTCCATACAGAATGCCACACCGTTGAGCAGTACTCGAGTCTTGGTCTTATAATTGATTTGTATAGATG